TGACATGTTTCCGTGTTGTCGTTGCTCAGCAATGGCATGGACGCGATGTTGTCTGGGGGTTTGGCAAAAGGAGAGTGGGACGGTGGGCGGTGCTCGGGGTGGTGACTGAAGGCGGTGACTGTGTAGTTCTGACGTCAACTTTTTACGGAAGTCACAACGGTTTGTGAAAAATCACAGCTACTTTATGCAGGCTGTGTGCATTTTACTGTGGACTGACTGTTTTGAAACGTATATGGTAGTTAAATAGCCCCTAGACCTCAGTTATCGTGAAAAAAGCCAGGAAATTTCAGTTTTGACAATATGGGACCTTTAGTAGTTAATCGGTGAATCAGTTGGTACATATTTTTAGCTATTTCGCATTTCCAAATCAGATGACCAAATATAATCAGTTCTTGTTGCAGTAGGAGCAATTTATATCTTGTAATATAACCGCAATTTACAAAGTGTGTGTCAGAGAGAAAGCATTTGCAATTTGTCAGGCATTTTTCAATACAGTATGTAGGCTGGCTGTTTAGCATAGTAACACAGTAGACAGCAAATGGCATTAATGTATATATTATTAATGCTTGCAAAATACTGTATTGGCAACATACTCTGTTCTACTGTCAAAATAAGCACAAAACATTTAGGGCCATTTGGACTTTGTATCAAATCAAATGGAAAGAGTTTATATCATACAATTTGGTTTCTGTGATTGCTGATAGTTTTGACCAGGATATTGTTATCCAGTCATTTAGAGTGCATTATGAATCAGCTGTGCAAGTTGTATATTATAAGTTACGTATAAGTTATATATAATGTTTATTCCTTATGTTCTTTTTCTTCAGAGAGTGGACATTGGTGGATAGTTCTCATCGTGCTCTTCCTAATCTTGATAGCCCCCCTTATTGTTTTTGTTCTCCTGTATAAGTTCTGGCCACAGTTTCATGGTAAGTTTCCTATTGTGTTATTTTCTTTTAAGATATGTGTTTTTTTGCTCTTGTTGTGTTTTTTTAAGGAGTTTAAAATACTGTCTATAAACTTGTACCCTATATGTAGACAGTAGTAGTGTACAGCAGTGGCCAGAAGTTTTCCAGCATAGGAAAACTGATATCTTCACCCTTTAATCAAGCATATTAATGTTATGTTGATGTAGATTTTCTAAGCGTATTGCGTAGTTGTGCTTGGAAAGTGCAAAACTATTGTATGTGCTCCCTGTACTTTATTTCCTGTGAAATATTTGTTTTTCTATGCATTTTTTTTTTTTTGCATAGTAAAATAAAATGCATATTTCCACGATAAGCTGTAGTATGCATTTTTTGGCAAATAGTTTTGTTAGTTAAATACCTTAACCAATTTTTTCCTCATATGTCAATGGTTTAATTAAACTCAGTGTTTCCCCTGCCATTATATTTAAAATAAATTATTAAAACCTTATTTTTAAGGAATAATCATACAATATTTCTTAAATTTATTAATTGTATTATTAAATCCCCTTTATTTTCCAAAAAATAAGAATTATTTTATATTATTATTATTTATTATTTAAATAAATTTATTATAATAATAATAATTTTCATTAATTAAAAGATACATCTAAATGAATGTTTTATGCCTTAAAAATGTAAATACACAACACAGAATTTCGATTTCTAAGGCTATTGTAAGGATAAATGAAACTTGTTTTTATGCTTTCAAATAATTAGACATGCTAAAACACAGAATTTGGTAACAATAAAACATAAGGTTGGAAAAAATAAAGCATTTTTTTGGGCCCTAAACGTAATTTTTGTTAAACTTCTAATAAATTGATGTTAAACTGTTGTAAGTTTCATGATTTTAATTAATTAGACATGCTTTTTGACTAATCAAATTTAATTTAACCATTAAAAAGTAGTCCAGAAAAATTAAAAAGGAAAAAACGGAACCCCCCCCCAAGGCCGTAAACCTAGGGGAAACACTGAAACTTGTAGGGTCATTTAAAGCAAATAGTGTGAATGTTCCCTCTGGACATCACTTTTGGCCACTACTGTATTTCTGTATGCTTTATGATTACTGTGAAAGTGTATTTTGGAGGCAGATTAAATTAATATATACACTTCTAGTGGTGTTAATGCAGGAAAATGTAAATGAGCACAGAGTTTATTTTAAATTTTAGGAAACTAATTGCATTCTTCTTGTGGAATCTTATTAGCCCTTGGTGTTGGATACTCAAATGTATGTTTTGTATTTTTAGTTGATTTGTAATTGTTTTTTGTTTTATTTTATTCTACAACAGAAATTGTTTACAACCATTTGAAAGGCAAACCTTGTATAGGAGGTACGTTTGTTTGTTTTGGAGTGATTGTCTTCCAAAAACATTCAGTCATGTGCCAAACCAACTTTATGTGAAATACTTGATATGGGTGATTCAATTAACATTCAATTACTTATAACAATTTTTCTCTCTTCAGCGATTTTGGACTGTCTGGATGGAAATAAGAAAAGTATGTCATTTTTTCATTCACGTGTTTATCATTTGCCCTAAAGCATTTTAAAATATATTTCAAGCATGCTCTTAAATTAGTTGCTAAATGTTAATTTTGTGTAACCTAGACCTAGTTATCTTGAACGTATGTTCATAATTTCTTCTGAAAGATTGTTTATTTTCCGTTCTGCGCTGTGCAAGATTTCTTTACAAAACTTAAAAAGGAAATCATACATACTATTAGGGCTGGACAATAATTCAATATCAATATGTATCGCGATATAATTTTTTTCAATAACGGTGATATGATTTTTAAACACATTTCCGATATTTCGATATACATTACCAGTTTCCCATACATTGATTTATTTGTGCCGTTTGACTTCGTTGAATAAACATGAGCACTGCACGTTTCAAAATCATAACACGGCGCGGGTGTTTTATATGAATGTATCTCTGAAGGGAATTAACTGTCTTCAGAAAAGTTTCGATGGCATTTTCATTTGATCTGATAAAGAAGCGTTCATGAGCGGACCTGCTTTGATTACAGCCATTACTGGAGAAACCGCTAGTTTTATCACTCTAAAAGCACCTCCTGCTGGCAGAGAATGAGTTTGCATTTCAAATAAGCCCGTCTCCAGCAACATTTCCAGTTTTTGTTGTTCAATTTTTTTGTTTTCTGCAGCGACTCGGAGCACTTTTCATACCCTTTTTTCTGGCTGAAGCACATTTGTTTCAATCTATAAGAATAATCAGCCTACACTACCAGTCAAAAGTTTTTGAACAGTAAGATTTTTAATTTTTTTTTTTTTTTTTTAAGAATTCTCTTCTGCTCACCAAGGCTGCATTTATTTGATCCAAAGTACAGCAAAAACAGTAAAATGTTGAAATATTTTTACTATTTAAAATTGCTTTCTATTTGAATAGATTTTAAAATGTAATTTATTCCTGTGATCATACATAGGTAAATTTTCAGCATCATTACTCCAGTCTTCAGTGTCACATGATCCTTCAGAAATCATTCTAATATGCTGATTTGCTGATTATCAATATTTAAAACAGTTGAGTAAATTTTTTTTCAGGATTCTTTGATGAATAGAAAGATCCAAAGATCAGCATTTATCTGAAATAAAAAGCTTTTGTAACATTATACACTATTCCATTCAGTAATTTTACTTTCTAGAAAAAAAACAGCTCTGCTTCTGTGAAATGTCTGCAGGGTTTGGTCAAGAAACAAACTTCAGAATGAGGACTTTTCATCGTATCACCTTTCGCAAGAACAGTCTTTTTTTCTTTTTTCCCCAGACATGAGCGGTAAACTTTGCATGAATGTGGAATTATTATTTTTTTAAAGGCCTAGTTGTGAACTTTTCAATATTATTCCCCTGCGTTCACAAATCATCCCTCAGTTTAATGTATTCACACTGCTTTTCATCAAATTATCCACACTGTTTGCATATAATCAGCTGAATCTGTGTCTTGTTTGCAATGTTTTTGGCAATCTGTGTTATCTGCATTGGTTGCTTTAGTGATGATATAGACTTGGTGTGGCATCTTCACTTAGAAGTGCCATTCAGAAGCATGCTGGTGGTATGACGAAAGCTTACTGATACGTACCAGCTTCCTTCTTGGACCTGCGATGACACTGATGTCCGTTTCTGATTTAAATAAACCAAAAACTAGCAATACAACTTAGATAAAAAACCACTGATGTCCACCAGAAAGAGAAACAAACTAAATATGTGCATAGACAGTGGTCACTTCAGGCGTGTTCATCTCGATGCAGCAGTCAAAGCCATACTACTAATCGAATGTGGTTGTGTGAAAAAATCTGATGTTGTCTGCCAGAAAGATCAGTATGGGTGACGTGAGATATCGTTGTAAATTATATCGATTCTCATAACTGTTGTGATGTAACAAATGTTGATGCAAGACACAGCAATGACTTAAGGCTGTCAAAAAAAGATTTTTTTTTTTATTATTATTTATAAATTTTTTTGTTTTTTTTGGTGGCTTTTGATATGACGTGCACAGTGTAGGTGGTGCATCTGTATAATAAAGGGTAGATTTTATTTACACTGGGTGCAAAAAGGTGTATATACTGTTTGTACCTAGTAGAAATAGCAACAAATAGCACTTAGTGCAGGCAATAATTAGGGATGCACGTATCGGTATCGGGCCCGATACTGAGCTCCTGTACTCGTACTCGTTAAAATGCCCCGATACCAAAAGCCGATACCACACAGCATGTGATAAGTGCCATATTCAGACAAAGAAACACCGACAACAGACAGCAGAATGGAGTTATTAGAGATTAAAGATGTCTACGAAGTATATGTATGCAATGAATATAAAACATTCAGTATTAATGCCTGTATAGCTGATTTGCGCCAGCTGGTAAGCAAATCACGCTGAGTGGATTGAGAGCGCAGCGGCGCAGATGCGCGAGCTTGTCGAGTGAATATCCCTTTCTCACAGACATCAATGGAAAGTTTGTAGTTCGGTTGGATATGTC